CAATAGCAAGATGTCAGCCTACTGCAGAGTTTGCAGGTGTTGGTGTTGCCAAGAAAGACATGACTCACACAGACACTGGATGGAATAAGACTTTATTCACAGAGAAGAGATCAAGAAAAATGAGCTTCAATAGTGACTGCCAGTCCTTCATGGCCAGTGTATATTGCCCTGAAGATGAATGACACAGGGAAGTGGTCTGTCCTCAATCCTTTTATGCGGCAGGTGAAGAATGTTTTCCCCTTCCCACCAAGGAATAGATATAACAATTGGGTTAGCCAGGTGCCATATGACGCACATGCTTTAAGTAAAACAAAGAGGTACATATCAAATCCTGAATAAGGAAAGATAGTCCCAGACAAGTCCATATGCCCAGCGCAGGCTGTTAGGACTTCTTATCTCCATGAAAGAAAATGTTCCAGGCCCAAGGCACACTCCTATACAATTATGCAAGGGTCAATGGGCTATAAGCAACTGCCTTCCCCAACAACTGCTTTTTCTTTTCACAGATGAAACAGATGAAGTGTTCCTCTTCCAATCAAAGACCTCCATCTGTAGTCTGGAAAGGATCTCCCCTTGTCTTCTCAAAGATTTTGCTCCTACAACTTTCGCCTTAAAAAGCAGTCCCTTGGGACAGCAGAGTGGCTCAGTAGGTTAAGCAACTGCCTTCAGCTCAGGTCATGGTCCCGGACTCCTGGGATTGAGCACTACAGCTGGCTTCCTGCTTAGGGGAGGGATTGCTTCTCCATCTCCCCCTGCCATTCCCCTCACCACCACCCCCATGCTCTCTCTCTCACTCTCACTCTCTTAAATAAATAAAATCTAAACAAACAAACAAAACCAGTCCCTTGACCTTATGACACTCTCCAGCTTACTGACCCATTTCTGCCTTCTCATCTCATTTTCTCTTCAATCCGGTTTCCATCATCACTATTTCGCTGAGACTGTTCACAAGATCACCAGTGATCTTCATGTTGCCAAATCCAATGGTCATTTCTGTTATCGTACCTGACCTTTCAGGAGCATTCCAAATGTTTTATCTCTCTCTCTCTCTCTCTCTCTCTCTCTCTCTCTCTCTCTCTTCACTTCATTTCTGAGATATCACACTCTCTAGTTTTACCCCGAATGGGGTCTCCTTTGCTGGCACGTCCTTTTCTACTAGAACTCTAAACTAAGCAGTGCACCAGGGTTCTGCTCTGTCCTAGGCTATCTCCTATTTATACTCTTTCCCTGATGATCTCAGTGTCATGCTTTAAATATCTTACTCATGCCAATGACACTCAAGCCCTGACCTCTCCTCTGAACTTTAGACTCATGTATTAAACTATCCTTGACATTTCCACATATACAAGATTTTCCCCTAATTTAAGCTCTTTATTTCATGAACTTAACACTTTATTATTTCACAGAGTACTGACAAGATTTTCAATTCACAATTGTCTGTTCTGCAATCAAACCTAGAGTTTACTGGCTAGTTCAGTCTAGAAATTGGAAAAAAAGAACATTATACTAAGATTCTTTAATTCTAATTTTTGAAGTCCAATTTTTTTTTTCTGCTTTAGAATAATCATGCTGGGATCCCTGGGTGGCTCGGTGGTTTAGTGCCTGCCTTTGGCCTGGGGCGTGATCTTGGAGTCCTGGGATCGAGTCCCACGTCAGGCTCCCTGCATGGAGCCTGCTTCTCCCTCTGCCTATGTCTCTGCCTCTCTCTCTGTTTGTCTCTCATGAATAAATAAATAAAATCTTAAAAAAAATAGAATAATCATGCTTATACTACTTAACATGGCATACATACATCTACCATGATTTAAGCAAAAGTTGTTATACCAAACTTTATTCTCATCCATTATCTACCCAGAGCTTTGTGTATATTGAAATGTTTTCAAAAGTGGTCTACTGTAGGATATCTGCACACACTATGGTACTGGTTCTAGGCTACTGCAGTTGGCCTTTCTCTTCCCACACTTGTTCTTGCACAAAACTTTAATCATCCTCTCTACATTTATTTGCCCAATGGTCCTTCTCTAGCCCTGACTTTTCTCTTGGGCTTCATCTCTACAGTTCTGATGATCCATTGGATATGTAACTCAATGCAAAATGCATCTTCTTTTGTATTCTCCGTAATCAATAACTTCTGACTTCCCTCTTCCTCTCAACGGAGTCGCAGTTCTCTTGGCTGCCCAGGCTCCACTCCACTCCCACATCTCATCATCATATCCTATTATTTCTTCCTTCAATACAGTAATATCATGCCTTTGTGACATTATGAATTTGAGGAAAGACAGACTTGGGAATGTTAGTTAACTGAGATCTCTATGCCTCACTTTGTCCATCTCTAATGCAAGATTAAAACTATATATCAGGATTATTCTGAAGACTACATGACTAGGGAAGCCTGGGTAGCTCAGCAGTTGAGCGCTTGCCTCCGGCCCAGGGCATTATCTGAAGTTCTAGGATTGAGTCCCACGTCAGGCTCCCTGCATGGAGCCTGCTTTTCCCTCTGCCTATGTCTCTGCCTCTCTCTCTGTCTTTCATGAATAAATAAATAAAATCTTTTAAAAAAAGAATATTAGATATTTTTCAGCTCTCCAAGTAATTCATTTTTTTTTCATTTTTTTTTTAAAGATTTTATTTACACATGAGAGATACAGAGCAAGAGAGAGAGAGGCAGAGGGAAAAGCAGGCTCCATGCAGGGAGCCCAACGTGGGACTCTATCCTGGGTCTCCAGGATCAGGCCCTGGGCTGCAGGCGGCGCTAAACCGCTGTGCCACCGGGGCTGCCCTCTCCAAGTAATTCAATTGATAAGGCAAGGTATGGAATCATTGTTGTTTGTTTGTTTGTTTAAGAATTTTTTTAAAAGGTTGTATTTATTTATTTGACAGAGAGAGAGAGTGAAAGAGCACAAGCACAGGGAGCCTCAGAGGGAGCGGGAGCCCCAACGCAGGGCTTAATCCCAGGACACTGGGGGGATCATGACCCTAGCTGAAGGCAGACATTGAAGAAATCGTTTTATACGGCTTTTGCCGAGGTGATTTTGATAGTCTGCCACACAGCAGTGATTCAAAGAAAACAGAATAATAGTTTTCAATTTCGATGTGTAATAACTGCCATCCCATAAAGTCGTATGTATGGTTTTCAATTAGCAAAACACTCTTCAAAATATAAACACAACAGGACCATTGGGGGGAATGGAAGGATAGTGGGGACAATTAAGTAGTATCTATCACAAACTTAAGTGACTCACTTCTAGAAATGGATCTTGCAGATCTCACAAGCTCATTACACCTGAAATTCACATCAGCAGAATGTGAAAGTGAAAAATTGAAAACTGAGGAAATAAATTATGATACATCAACTGAATACTATGCAGACTATAGACAAGAGTAAGTTCGTCTATATATACTGACACAGAAAGATATCTAATTTATGAGGGGGCAAGGCAAGTTGCAGAAAAGTATACAGATCTTATCTGTACATACGAAGTATGAAAAAATACATATATTTGTATATGCAGAGAGAGTAAAAATCTATTATAGTGGTTACTGTTAACAGTGGGGAGATTCTCACTGATATGGAAAGGGACTTTTTGCTTTTTATATCCTTCTGTACCATTTTGGTTTTTTCACTATGAGCAACATGCAAATTTACATTCACATTACAAAATACTGTTTAAAAATCTGCATAAGACCTAGCCAACTAAGTACCTCATCATTTAGGTTCCTGGTACAGAAATTTGCTCTTCACTATTTTCTCTTAATCTGCAGTTTGGTCTTTAATTTTCTAAAAGGCCTCCACATATATTCTTCTGTTCCTTCAACCAGTCGTTACCGACAACCTACTTCATACCAGACAGAGAGCACTGTTCTAAGGCAAACAATGAAGAGCAGACACAAAATCAAAATCGCGTGCTCCTTACACGTGGGTAGGACGATACGCCCACACGTAAATAATAATTAGAATTGAGAGCCACGAAGATCTGAATTTTCAAATGCTAGAATGTTCAAATGTCATGTGTGCTTGTGTGTGCCTATACACGTCCTCGCTCACACATACCAATTAACACAATCATCGCTACTGAATTAAGAGTCGTTTGTATATAGTATTCGGGGATATTTGACTTTCTCTTGCATTCATTATAACGGACTTAGCACAAAGAAATCAAAAACAGTTAAGACTCTGTGTTGTCCGAATTTAGGCAAATTAGGTGCTTCAGGGCCTCAGCCTAAAGGGGTATTTACCTCTCGGGCTGGCTGTCTCGGGGACAATTCTAGGTGCCGATCGGGGAACCCACCGCAGGGCCTGGCGCAAGCACGCGCGGGGTGGGGCGGCCGGGGGCGGCCGGGGACGCCCGCGCCGGGGCGCACCTGGGCCGCGCGCACCGCGGCCGGCCCGCTCTCCCGGGGCGCGCGGTACTCCCGCCGGGGGCCGCAAGAGAAATGCGGCGCTTCCACCAATTTTTTCACCCGAGCGCTCCTGCGCCCCAATTTCTCTCTCCGGGCGTGCGGGGCCACAGCGCCCGCCAGCTCCTGAGGCGCCGGCTGGGCACCAACCCCCGCCCAGGGCCGGCCATGTGCTGAGGCCGCCCTGCGCGGCAAGACTCAAGTCCACTCCCGGGCCCGAGCCGGCCAATCTGTCCTGGGCAAACCTGGGCCGGAGCAGGCGGCAGTTTCGCCTCCCAGCTGCAGCAGTTGGTTTGAATTCTGGCGCCACTCCCGCGCCACGTAGAGCCGGACTCGGAAGCGACAGATCGCCGCGCGCAGCGGGCGCGCACGGGCCCTGGGCGAGCGTGCAGTGGGCGGGCGGACTACGCGCGCACCACGCCCCGGAACCAGCCTCCCCCGCCCCCCGAGAGAAAAAAGCCGCCGCGCGCGCTCCCGCGCTCTCCTCTCAGGAAGCGGCCACGCCCCGCTCTCTCCCTCGTCCAATAGGCGCGAGAGGGCGGGGCGGCCTCGGTCTGGCTCCGGAGAGGCTATAAAAGGAACTGCTGGCGGCGCAGCTCGGTCTTTTGCGTCCGGACTTGGGAGGCGCTGCTTCGGTGGAAGGTGAGTGGGCACCGTGGGCGAGGCCTTTGGCGGGTGGGCTGGGAGCGGGCTGCGGTTCGCTGCGGCGCTGTGAGGTCTCGGACAGCTGTGCTTAGAGTGCTGTGGCTCGGGGAGCTGCACGTGGGAAGCACGCAGCCGGGCCGCCACGTGGTGTGCGCGGTGGCGGCGGCGCCAGGCTTCGAGCTTAGGCGTGCGGAGGCTGGTGCTGAGGGCCACGAGCTCTGCGCGCGGCCTTGCTGAGGCGCGCCGACACCCGACTGGCCGAACCTGGGCAGCGAAGGGATGACGACCGGATTCCCCATGATTTGGGCCAGGGAGTTAGGTCTACGTTGAAAATAAGAGGCCTTTACTACTAAGACGAGTGTCCCTTTATCGTCGCAAATCTAAAGGTTACTTGAAAAAATGGGCGGTCCCGGACCTTGTCTGAGATGGAGTTGTACTGTGCCCAGGTGGCGCTGTGTGCAAGGCAGCTTAGTCAAAGAGGCAGGGTTCTAGTGCTGAAAACCTCCAACTGACAGTCGGTGAGAATGCTTAGTTTTCAAAATATTGGTCCTCTGCAGGAACAATGGCTCTCGGTGGCGTAATGAAGCTGCTCTCTGAAGATGTTGAGGTAAGTACGGTGGAGAGCTTCGTTTTTAAATGGAAGTAAACCTGTTGATACGCAGGAAAAGATGATGCAGCATCTGGAATTTTGCTTCTTAATAGATGCAAAGGAAAACAACAACAAAACACGTGAGAGAGTATTTGCTGGGATGTTACTTGGTCGAAACCTGACAGTCTTAACACAGGTATGTGTTGGGCCAATACTTGAATTCAGTAGGTTTACTCCGTAATGTGGATTAAATGAAAATTTTTTTCTTGTCCTTGAACAGCTTCCTGGGGACTGATAATAATGGACCTATAGATGTCACTGACTAGCAACCTCATTTTAAAGTAAGTTGTGTGGTGTACGAGATAACACTATAGTGTTTCCAGCACCGTATTTACCTTATAACATGCCTTTGGCTGATGGTTAATTTCACCGTTCTATAATGAATTCTGGTCTAATCAATGATGAAACCTATCCCGAAGCTGACCACCTGAAGAAAAGCATATACGGATTCGGCTTCTGAGATACGACCAGAATAAAATCTGTTCTGTTGTCCGGATTTTATAACAGTTCTGTTAAGTTACAAATGTTGTAGGGGGAAAACTGCTACCTCACAATGATGTATTGGTGGGTTTTTGTTTTTCTTTGCCAACAGTGTGGGGTCGCTGTCTGCCCATGGAAAGAGGCCAGTTTGCTGGAACCTTCCGAAGGTGTAACCCATTCCTGTGAGTGGAGTTTTTTGACATTTGGTCATTGTTTTGTCCTTGGTCTTAGTCTATGATGATCTTATCCCGAACCTGAATACATGTTGAGAAAACCAATACGGATCTGGCTTCTGAGATAGACCATTATAAGGACAAAGATATTTTTTTAATTCTTTCGCTCTTCTGATGTGGATCGTCTTGTAAATCTCAAATGTTTTTCCTTTTCTAGGGCTAATGCCACGAGATTTACTTGTATGAAAAACTGATGAAGAACAGCTCCTTTTACTGATACTGAAAGAAAACTTACAAATCAAGACAATATATTGATTTTTTTTTTAATTTTTGTAAGTAGATAATAAAGCAGCATCTAATCTAATGTATCCATAAGAAGCAATTCCTGGGTGGCTCAGTCGGTTAATTGTCTGCCTTCAGCTCAGGTCATGATCCCAAGGCTCTGGGATCAAGTCCATCAGGCTCCGTGCTCCGTGCTCCAAGGGGAGTCTGCTTCTCCTGCTGCTTGTTCTTTGTCAAATAAAATCTTTTCAAAGTAAATGATTGTAATTAAAACAGAGTCAAAATTTATGCTGAATATTGTGGGGAAAATCCATAGGTTTTTATGGGGAGATGACAGTATCACAGGATAAATAGAAATGTTAACTTTATGTGGGGTACTGAGTATTACTGGGTTAATGGTGAACAAAATGGAGAGACTGCCTATTGGAGAGAAACACGCCAGTTATCAAATGATCCGTCTGATTACTGAATCCTGAAATATTAGGTCTTGATGCAGTTGTCATTGAAAGGAACCACAAAATGGGAAATGTGGAATACTAAAAATGAGCACAGCCTAACAATTATGGGTCATGGGGGAAGATTGCTGATAGAATCTGAGTTTAAGCTAGTCAAACATTGCACAGAATGGATTTAGTGTAGATCATAATAGCATCTGATCTAACCAAGATGGTCAGGCCATGCAGGATCATTTTCCCTAAATAGCTGCATGAATAAGTTGTTCCCAAACCCATATGTGTCAGTCAAAATAATAGGTTTTTTTTTTTTCTCAGCTTATGATGGACTACCTTTTTCCTAAAATTGCCTACCTTAGTAAAAATTAAATTTTGGCCCCATGCAGTTTAGACAGAAGAGGCTCATGAGCCTAGCAAGCATGCTGGTTTAGTGGGCAGGTACATAGTGAATTTGCTCAAGTATTAAAATGGTGCACAAAATACTCATTGGAGCTACAGTAAAATTTTACTAAGGTTATTACTTCCACCACCAAGTATTCTGGGTCCCTGCACACTATTAGAGGTGGTGAGGAATTGGAGTGACCAATGTGGTCACTTTAAAATGGAAAAATCTGCTTTTTGCAAGTTGTCTGCAGAAAATACAGACCAGATTTGATAAGTTTGAGAAACCTAATTGAGACCCCAGGGTGTGGTACCTTTAATGAGGCGTTAAGGCTTGATGAAATCCAGCAATTGGAAAAGCTACTTGGCATAAGTAATATCTTGATATTACGAAAAGAAATGTGGAAAGCTGTGTTGCCTTACCACCACCAATCATTTAGAAAGACTGGATCAATGGTACAATGTATATAAAAATGGAGTAGTTGAGCAAAATATTAGGTGCTGAAATTAAAATTCCTCAATGCTATAAAATGTCTTCTAGATCAAAGTTCTGGGTTAGTAACCTTGTTAGTTGCATGTATCATTCAAAAAAAATGCATCTGTATATGTAAGCCAGTGTGTTAAGATCAGTTTCAGTCATCAAAGTATCTTAAGTACCTAGATACCATAGTTACCTACTTGGACTTGTTTGCATAATAAATTTTAGGTGGACAATGAATGATAAAAAAGATTGGGGGTCTGCGGGAAATTTTCAGGAAAAGTGTCTACCCTTTTGTCAAAGCTGGCAAACATCACTTCAAAACAAGTTATGAAATAGACAATCTGCTTTGGAGCACTCTGACCTCTTTTCCTGCAGTTCCTTCTGTTTTTGTTCCTTTCCTTTGCAATCAGTCTGGTAATATGTCACATTTCTTCAGCTGATATGATCCAAATTAAATTAATTTGTGTATTGCACTGTTCAGGGCTCTGCTAAGGAGGCCAGAGGTGAAACCCTTCCTATGCTCTCTATATCTTAATAGTGGTCCAAAATGCCATGAAAATCAAAGGCAAGCAATGACGTTAAAAAGTACTGAGAGAAATACTCAAATGTGAGGACTATGAATTTTTAGGCATAAACATTTGAAGCAAAGATGGTACGCTCCAGAACCTGAGAGTGATGAATTGGGAATTTGGGTACCAATTGGGTGGTTAGATACGGGACAAATTAGATGGAGGATAAGGCTGAAGTGTATGGAGGCAACAAATGTAAAAAGCTAGGGTCATTTGAATTACCTAAAGTGACGTTTTCTTCAGTGGGAAGGCATATAGCAGAGAACTACATATTTAGTCCGTTTGATTCTGCAGAGTCCACACTTAAATGAGTCAGGACCACAAAGGTACGTAACATTTAGTGAAATTAAGTTTGAAAGCTTAAGATGTTACAATTAATCATCAGCTTCCATTTTAAAATTACTAATTGATTAAAGCTTCTAGTAGATTGGATGACATTTTTCATTCATAGAACAAAGGTCTTGGCTGTTAGATTCTATTAGCCTTCAGCTTTATGAATGCTACCATACCATGTAATACCTTTCTATTACCAAAGTAGGTAACTACTAGTTACGGCCAGGGACCTTAAGTTACCTGGATAAGGGACTTAACCCTTCTGAGCATATGTGCGACTTAATAGAGAACTTACTGGAGACTCCAAGCCTTAAAGACCTAAGGAATAAAGGAATATGGCTGTAATAGATGGATCTGCATGGTTAGGACTGATTTCAGAAGTTGAAAGCAAAATCTACATGTCTGGCTTTAGCTAAAAGGAATTCTTTTCTCCGCCTTCCACCATGCTTCCAGGTTATCTTCAAATATAGTAGGCTCAAACCTACCATTTGGTGCTTTCTAAAATTAGTTCTGTTGCCAGAAATCTAATATCCACTGCACTTGGCTTCCCAACGAAGTGCCCTCTGAATCGGTTATGCCCTCATAAATCCTTATTTGCCCAACCTGTGTGAAATCTTTTGCTTGTGCTCAGGTTTTTAACACCGCTTTCCCAGTTAGAATCTTTGTTTGAATTACAGCCTGCTAAGATAGTCTGCCTGCCTTTTGCTAGTCCTTCCTCCCTGGAGGTGACACTCTCCCATTTCTTCACAAAAGCTCAGTTCTAGATCCAAGTAGTACTCATAGCATAGTATAGTATTCATAATTGCCTGACGGAATATTGCCACTGCCTCTGGCCTTGCTCCACCTCACTGATGCTGCATATTTGGGTATGTACAGAGATCAGATCAAAGCACCAGATTAAGTTTTGGAAGCTTTATAGACTATCTTGGGATGGAAGGAGAGGGTGTCTTTCCAAAATGAGAACCAGAATCCTCAGGCTCATTCTCACAAGTCTTGGCTTCTTCCCTTTACCACTAGCACGGTACTGAAGTCCTGGCATGCCATGTGGCTGAGTTATAACAGGAAATAAGATTTAATCTTACAGAATCCCAATTTGAGTACAGTATAAACCAACCTATTTGGGAACTCTGTCTTAGTTATGCTTACTCAATTGATTCCAGTTCTCTTCAAAATAGTATTAATAATAGAAAAAACATTTCAGAATACTCAAAATTTATCATTTGAAGAAAGTAACATTTGCAAATACAGTGCATTGCTTTACTGAGGTCACTAAACTTTTGACATACCCTTGTGTCCTAACTATATAATTGGTGTGCAACAAATTGTACAGTTTTAAATGTATAGTTTGGTGAGTTTTTCCATTGATACACACCCATGAAATCATTACCACAATCAATAATGACTATCCATTTCTCCCAAAAGTGCTCTTATAGAGGCTTAATTCTGAACACCTTACATTTGAGATGGCATCTAATATCCAAGTGAAATTTTGAGTTAGGTAGAGAAGTATGAAGTTCAGGGAAGAGATCTGAGCTGGAGAAATAAATTTGGGAGTCATCAGCATGTGGTGGTGTATTTAAAGCTATAAGATTAGATGAGATCACCAAGGAGTGACTATAAATAGAGAAAAGAAGTGGTCCAAGAGTTGAGTCCTGGAACATTCCAAGATTAGGGGATTCCAGGTTTAGTTGAAATCCTGAAGATTGTTTTGTGCCAAGGGACAAAAATTGGGAAGCAGAAATCTGTTGTCAAGTCCAACTGCCATATCAAGAACAGAAACTAGATGGAAAAGGAGTTCTGGAATGAAAAGGGTGAAAACTAGCAAATAATTGGGGTCTAGGTAGGGCTGGAGATAGCCTTGATTTAATGCAGAGCCTTCGCATGGAAATTGGAGGAGTTAACATATGAGAACAACTTTGTAAAGTATCAGACAAAATAGTCCCCAGAAAAGAATGAGATAAGGAATTTAGGAAGTGTGATAGGGTTTTCATCAGACACTGTCTACTTTGAGAAGTGGAGTTGACTACAAACAAATTAGAGGTTTGTCTTAATAGTACTAAAGTGCCGACTGAGACTGAAAACTACCAATTTTAGTAGTTAATCAGCATAATTCACTATTCTCCTATGAGGCTTATCTGCTTGGGAGAAGAAAGCAGATCAGTGAATGCCTCCAAAATTAGGAATAAACTGGCCAGAAGGAGCAAAACAATGACAAGCCAAGAGAACTGAGGATGGAGGTTAAACTGTTAAATAAAACCTTGGGGACACCTGGGTGGCTCAGTGGTTCAACGTCTGGTTTTGGCTCAGGGTCCCTGCAGGGAACCTGCTTCTCCCTCTGCCTATGTCTCTGCCTCTCTCTGTGTGTCTCTCATGAATAAATAAATAAAATCTTTTTAAAAAAATTATTAACCTTGATCCAAGTCGATTAGGGGGAACAAAACAAGGGTCCCAAGTAAGACAGTCAGATATACCATGGAAAGACGCTGATGAAAACTGGGTAAAATAAGTTCCTCTCCAGTTACACTACAAAATGACCCACAGCATGTTGTATTCTGATTGTTGGTTTATTTCTCTCTGGCCCTAGAATGTGAAGTCTTTACAAGAAGAAACCGTGCACTTTAATCTCTTAAATTCTGCTTAAGACAGTGTAATGACTCCTATAAAAAATTGCCTAAGTGGAATTCAATTTGTATATTTAAGGTCGCAATGATGATGTGATTTAACCTCTCCAAAAGGGGTAAAATAAATGAGAAGAGTTGGAAGGTGTTAAGGACAAATATTCGTGTCGCCCAAAACTCATCTGTTGAAGCCCTAATCCTAGGGCTAGCTATATTTGGAGATATATTTGGAGATAGAGTCTCAAAAGAGGT